AACCCCAGTAAGCCTAGGCATGTGTCTAAGTCAAAGGCAAATCCAATTGCTGTCTCAGACACTCGGACACCCGATAAATCGAGCACCATTATAAAATCTTTTCCTCCACAATCGGCTAACAGTGCCTCAAATACCCCGACTCAAAACGTAGCGTGTTCCCAACTGACCCGCAGCCCTCATATTGAGGCAGTTAGTCCGAATATGCAGATTTTCCCACCGTTAAATAAAACTCTTGCTCCAATGGAAACAATGCGTCCCCCACCCCCTAACTTGTTTCCTCCACAGTCGTTCTACAAATGTATTCCTCATGCTAATGTCTATAATGTGTAAAATTAATCCAATCATTATAAACATTTTGTAAAGAGTTTTTTTTCACACCTCAATCATCATCTTTCTCAATTGACTACTAATTCAGAAACGATGAATTGCATTTTCAAAAGATTCGGCCTACCTCGTCTAAAACTCACATGTGAAATCAATTTAGCTTGCTTTGATGGGACCCCGACGAGTCTTTAATAAAATATTATTAATTTATTTATTTATACTGGATCAGTTAATTCGTCCGATCATCAGTTTCTTTCCGGCGGGAATACGTTGCAGAATCTGCCCCGCGGATTTCCAGCTGAAAATAAGTTAGCTAACAATAGTTACCATTCTGAAGTAAATCGGGTACATCATAAACGAAAAGGCAAAATAAAAGCGGGCCGAGCACACTACCCTGAATGACTCCACTCCTCACACGTGTGGGGTTGGAGATGGTATAGAAAATCTTAACTCGTTGTGTTTAAGTGCCCAGGTAAGAGGATATAAAATTAAAAATTTTGCCACCTATTCCGAAAGAGGACAGTTTCAAGAGAAGAAGAGCATGGTCAACACGATCATAAGCCTTAGTGAAATCGAAATTTACAGTGCAAAGTGCAAAACCATTGTCCCTAGATTGGAGAACACAGTCAAATTAAGAAAGCTGACAGGTGTCACAAGATCGAGCTTTGAGAAATCCATGCCGAGCAGCACTGTGCAGGTTATTCACTGTTAAGTGACACATAATTTTATCTTTGATCAATGTCTCTAAGATCTTCGAAACTGCGGGGTGGGTGTTTATTGGCCGAAAGTCGTCAAATGATGTAGACTTGCCCTGCTTAGGAATGGGCAAAATGTGTGATTCCTTCCACAAGGTAGGATAGGATTCAGTTTCAAGAGCAAGATTAAATATCTTGCATAAGAGGGAGGGGAAGATCGTGTTTGCATCGGCTTTTAAAATGCTTACTGGGACACCATCAGGGCCTGGACTATAAGATTGACGAGAACGCCGAATCGAAACAGTCACATCCCACAGAGTGAAAGTTATAGTTTCTAGAACTGCCCCAGTCAATTGCTGGATGGTCGGAAGCGGAGTGGTCGAGTCCTCAATGAACGTTTTGGACAGGAAATCATTGAAGCTATCAGCGGTTAACTGAGCATCAACTACAGGACTTCCGAGAGCGTCTCGGAGGATGGGATGCTGCGTCTTTCCATGAGTTCGTACTTTTCTAGAGAAAAGTTTGGAGACATTTAACGAATGGTTTTCGGTAAACTGGACCTATTCGGCTAGCTGTTTTTCTTCAGACAATCTCTTAGCTCGATCAAAAATATCACAAATCAGGGGCAGAACAGAAACGTCGTTCTGCAGATGGAAACGACGATAAAGCCGGCGCAATCTGCGACGAAAGAGTAAGGGTAGGAAAACCTCATCCCCAACATTAATAATTTTCTTACGGTGAACAAAACGAGAAATAAACGGATCCAAAATTTCGTACAGATTTGCAGTGCAAACATTTACATCCGAACTAAGGAAGAAATCAGTACAGTCGTAGGAATTAAGGTGTGTTAACAATTCGGTT